GTTTTAAACAGTCACTGAAACACAACCAGACTGAAATCCAATAAACTAGACCAGCTGATTCTTCTTCTTATTTCACATGGGGATGGAGGTCACCAGTGACCTCTGAATACACATGAATAGGATGATCCAGCAGAAACATGGTGTTTTTCCTGCATTAGCTTGTTATCTCTCCCCATTATCCTAACAACCTGCTTACTGTTAGCTGGTTACAACACAAAGTCTCCAGCATGTCTCATTATTTAGCTGAACATGTTGCCTAGCCTAGCCACATGCTAACATGCCAGGCTAGCTATTTGCAGACTGAAGCCAACCCAGCACACACACACACACACACACACACACAGAAATGCAGTCTGCATGGTCATGCAAATCAGGTAGAAGGCGCCACCATACATGCACGTCCTCCACCCTCCAGCCCCCAACAACACACAGCACAAATTTAATGCAGCACATTTATCTATTCAGACACTCAGAGGACAAAGGCAGTTAATGTGTGCAGAGGATCGGTGCAGGATACTCACCGAGCATTCTGTGCGAATGCTGAGGAGGAGGAGGAAGAGGAGGAGGAAGAGGAGAGGGGGCTATGGATGCATGTTCTCCTACAGCAGAAAACAGGAGGAGGAGGAGAGCAGAGGAAAGATAGAGAACCTGCTGATCCTGATGCTGTTTGATTGAAAGGCTGAAGACCTGTCTCTGTCTGTCTGTCTCTCCGTCTGTCTCTCTGTTAGCTTGCTGCCACTGATGCTACACAGCTTCAGCAGCTCTCTCTCTCCCTCGGTTTGTCTCTATGTGACTCGACCTCCCTCTCTGTCAGCAGTCGCCCCTCCCCTGCAGCGAGGCTGCCCTACTTCCTCTCCTCATCTCCTCTCCTCCTCTGTCAGTATTGCTCTCCCTCCCTCCTTTTGCCTCTAATCCACTCCCCCTCCTCAGCCATTGTCACTTTGTGTAGCCGGTGCACAGGATTACAGACTTTGACCCCCACCAGCAGCACAGACAGAGATTACGTTTCATGTACGTTGTTTTGTGCATCACAGCGGTGAGCTGTGGTCCGTCCATAAAACATGTCACCTCCCACCTGTTCACCTGTCAGTTACATGCACCTGCATCCAACCAAACCCCCCCAGGTTTACCTGTGGATCCAGCCTCTGGCACAATAAGTCTCCAGTGTTGCTGGTCAGACGAAGAGAGGACTGCACCAGCTAAAAAAGCCACAGGGGGAAGGGGAATCCTGTGCCCAAGTGGCTACAGCACGGTGGACCATAGCCTGGGCAGTACACCGTGTGTACAACTGCTGATGTTTGTCACAGGAAGTGGGTTTACCTGGTCAGGCCATTGGTACACAGCTCTGCTCTCATACCTGAACATTCAGGACAGATGTGGGTGAGATGAGTCTTTGTCCTGACATGCTCTAGAACTAGGTTCACTTAGCACCAACTGTATGTCCATGGACATGATGAGAACAGACCTCTTTAGTAACCGAGCCCCTCCCCTCCATGGTTCGGTGTTATTACTCATGTTAGGAGTGAAGTCCGTCACCAGAACTATGGAGACCAGATCCTTCTAAAGACTCCAAGAGGACAAACTGCATTTAGAACCACAGGGATAAAAAGTCTGAGCATTCCCCTCTGTGGCCTGGGGCACTTCTCATTTCTTTAAAATGTCTCCTCATCCCCTTCACCTGTGCCTTATCTTCACGCTCACGTAAGATGTGAGGAGAGAGGAAGTGAAGAAACATGTTTTAAAGGCATGGGACATCCTTTCCTCTGATGTCCAAGTAATTTCTGATAAAGAGCTGTGTCGGTGCCTAAAAGACTTCCAAGAAGGATGCTCATGTGTCCTCGCTCACGACTCCTCTGACAGCTTCCTCACTACTCAGAGCAGGAACGAGGGTTTTGGGATGTCCTTCCTGACTGTGGAACAGAAATGACTTCCAAGTCACCCGAGGAACGCGGAGACTCAAAATAAGGTAATGGGAAGCACCTATGGTTTTTATAAATTTAACCCGTTAATGCATCACAACACCTAGCCAGTGCCTCTCAATCTGGACAGCTCCAGAAAAGTCCAGCTCTGATCTAGCAGTTTGGTTCCTGAGCTGGAAAACCTGCTGCGGTTCCAATCCCCCTGCCACCTTATTTCTGGCTCCTCCTTATCTCAATATCTATCTGACATTATCTCTGAGAATAGTCATCAGCCTAGAGTATTGTTTAAGACCATTAATGCGGTTATTAATCCCTCTAGTGCTGTATTTGTTGAGACTTCAAATACTGTTTGCAATGAGTTTTTAATGCATTTCAGTGAAAAGACCCGGTCCATCAGGCAGAGTGTCCCGCATCCTTCCTCCTATATTCTATCTGTCTCCCACCCCTCCCATACTTTCACTTCGTTTTCACAGATATCCATTGTGCAACTTAAGAAATGTATGCGTCAGCTGAAATCTCCAGCTTCCCCTCTGGACCCCCTTCCTGGAAAGATTTTTAAGGAGTCGATTGACACCGTTGGCCCTTGGTTGGTCATTTTTATCAACTCCTGCCTGAGCTCGGGACTAGTCCCTCAGACTCTGAAGCATGCGATTATCAGACCATTGCTCAAAAAGCCCAACCTTGACTCAACTGTGTTAGGAAATTTTCGCCCGATATCTCTTCTCCCTTTTCTTTCTAAAGTTATGGAGAAGCTGGTGTCTGCCCAGCTCCAAGCTCACTTAGATCAGCTAGAAATGGTCGACAAATTTCAATCCGGTTTCAGACCTAAACATAGCACTGAGTCTGCGTTAATCAAAGTGCATAATGATATCGCACTGGCTTTGGATGCGGGACACCCTGTCGTTCTAGCTCTCCTCCACCTGTCAGCCGCCTTTGACACGGTAGACCACTCTATTTTACTTTTGAAGTTAAATCACTTCTTTAGCCTGGGAGGTAAGGTCTTAAACTGGTTTGAGTCGTACCTACAAATAAAACTTATTCGGTCATGATTGGCGACCAGTCCTCCAGCACTGCTCTTTTGATCTCAGGCGTTCCGCAAGGCTCCATTCTTGCTCCTTTTGTTATTCTCTGTCATCTCTTGCGTCTATTATATCCAGTCATAATGTTTCTTTTCATTTTTACACTGACGACATCCAAATTTATATGCCTTTGGTACCCCCTGAATCAAGCTCGCTTGCTGCATTACAGAATTTTATATGTGATGTTAAAATCTGGCTGGCTCAAAATCTCCTTTACTTAAATTAAGATAAAACCAAATATAATGTTATTAGTCCCCACCCACCTGTGCCCCCCCATGCTCTAATACGGTGAGGAATTTGGGAGTTATATTTGACACAAATTTTAACTTTGATAGCCAGATTAAGTCTGTGGTAAAAACGAGCTTTTACCAGTTGAGGTTGTTAGCGAAGGTAAAATCATTTCTCTCTCACACTGACTTAGAGAAAGCCCTTCACGCCTTCGTGACTTCCCGGCTTGATTATTGTAATGCCCTCTATGCCGGTCTGTCCCAGTCATCGTTGTCTAGGCTGCAGCTAAAAATCCAGCCACCCATTTGCTTACAGACACTCGTCAGCATGCTCATATTACCCCAATCATAGCGTCCCTCCATTGGCTACCTGTGAAATGGAGAGTGCAATTTAAGATCATGCTCTATGTTTTTAAAGCCTTGCATGGCCTTGCCCCTGCATATCTATCAGACCTTTTATCCAGATATTTTCCTCGGAGATCCCTACGGTTGTCAGGTCACCTTGCCCTTGTTGTCCCTTCTTCTCGTTATAAGAAATGGGGAGGTCGGGCCTTTGCCGTGCACGGCCCGGTATTGTGGAACGCTCTGCCCTTGGATTTACGCTCTATAACTGAATTGGTTCCGTTTAAGACAACTCTGAAAACATATCTTTTTAAACAAGCTTTTAATGCTTAACT